GAAAAGTAGGATGAGTCAATTTTCTTAAACATTTTTTTCCGTAAAGGAGAAAGGGTAGTAGCATTCTTTGACGTATACGTTATTTGCCCTCTAAAAAATGTTGTTTATAAATCAATCTCGAGCAGAAATATACTAAACTTATAATTTCACAATACATACAGACTAAAAGATTAAATACTCAGGAGTATGATTATAAGAAATCTAAATCTGATATTAATTTCTGGTGGGTAAACCAAACAATCGAGATCGAATGCCTCTTAGATAAGAATATCAAAAGCAAATAATACGACAAAATATGAGTAATTATTATCTGATTACACAATGGGGATCATGAACGAACAAGGCAGGCAAGGGAACATATTTATATGCTTAACCTTATGTGAACTGGCCCGTAAGCTACGACCTCTGCTGGTAAAATGTAACAGTAGCGCGATCGTGAAAGAAATCGCAAGCCTGCCTATACTGAGTAAAGCCAATAAAATGGAGTGCTCGGACTCAACTGCAAATACTAGAAACGAAATAAATTTGAGACGAAAAAGATAAAAATTGAAGAACACCATCAACAGCAGAATCATATACACAGAAGGACCGGAAGTAGCCAAAAACTTTGCATTGAGTGGCAGCATCATTGGCTAGATTGCAACATAATTTTGGCCTAATACAGTAGAAAATATAAAAAACGGAGAACCATAGAAAGGTAGGACATACTTTTTCAAAGAAATCTAATGAACGGAAAATTAGAAGGATTAAACAAGAATTTCGCTTACTACTAGAGCAAACATAGATAAATTTGAGATTCAGCTATAAAAGCCAAAGGGAGACTCTTGAATCGACGCCTGCAGAACAGGAAAAGGCATCGAGTATCTAGACAAAATGGACGTCAAGAGAAGGTAGATACATAAAAATAAAGGAATCAGCATAAAGAAGTTGACAGTGTGATCCACTTGGAGGCACATATTAGCGGTAACAACTGTCTTGTTAGGCTAAGATTGGGGACCAAAACTTAACTATCTAGATCTATCTCAAGTCCCGTGAGTATTGCAGCGAAGGACGTTTATTAAATGATGGAGTTTTGGCATAAGAGCATGCCTAACATTTACCAACCCTTGTGTGCATGAGATCTGAGTGAAGCTGAACCACAGAATTAGGTTAGACTGAAATGGTAGAGATTGATGACTCGAGAGAGTAGTGTTATACGTGAGACAGAGATGCATGAGTAAAGCGATATACCGTCATCCTGGCGGTTCCATAGGGAGATAGACCTAATCGCCCGAGGGAATGTGGGAAAATATGATAACTTGGTGATCAAGGTTGAGAAGCTAAGGTGAATTAAAAGGGCAGCATGAGTAAATCACATTTTTGAGCCGTCTTTGGTGAGGCAAGCGTACATGTTCCATCAAACATTCTGGGTCCTCCATATGAATAAATCCTCAAGTATGCGCATATAGTGCTAGGATCGAGTGCCTATGATTATTCAGTCAGGTAGGACAAGCGGGAACAACTGATAGAAGTTTGAAGGAGTGACTTTTTGATGTTATCAAGAAGCCATGCAGAGGTGATGCGAAACCAGTGGTAGGTGATTAAATCCTAATGTATCCACTTGAAGTGCTACACACTTAGAAGGCGCTGAAACAAACGAAGGTAGAGAGGTGTTGAAGAAATGTGTGATATGAGGTGGGATCGAAGTAAGAGGATGGAGAGCTAGGAGCCTGTGACAAATAGAGAAAAGAGGGGGCACAATTGTTGAGCATAGTGGGAAATTTCACTTGTCACTTTGATGACTAGATACTAAAATTTGAACCTCTTACCGAAAATTACGGAGAAACTTCTGAGAATATGCCAAATAAACAATGGGATACGATAAATTAGCGTGACTACTACTGCCTGTATAAAATGCATTCACCCTATTTCGTTTAGTGATGAAGGACAGGTAGTTGAATTTTCCCACAATTATATGAGCTGACGCTTCCATTGAGTTTCACATAGCTTTGCGCTTCAAAAAGATGTGCTCACCCATGGTGCCTATGATGCGGGAGTGGATACATTTTACTAAGTCTATGTCAGTCAGACTAAGTTGTGAAAACAAGGCCATTAAAATTCAACAGTCACATCCACTTGGCTACCGCTTCTACCAAAATGCAACCAGTCATAAAGAAAAACATCAATGCATGTAGAGAAAATATTAATTGAAAGAAATTAAGGTATAAATGATTCCCATAAATATGCGGGGTTACATGAGAGAAGAAAAATGCCGAAATTTCACCTGGGTATCTCTGGCAAGCCTGGCAGCTCAAAGATTTCAGCCAGACCTGGATCAGAGTCAAACGAAGTTTTTAAGGCCACATCTGCTTCCAGATTAGGTTGTTTGTTCCTAAGTTCTGACGAAAGAAGGGGATGGCCGCTACCTGTGCCATTGGGCTCCTCGGAAAGCTCATTGCCCCGTAAATCAAATGAGAGAGATCCTCTATCACCATATGAAGGCCTTCGGTTAGGATGACTGTATAATTCATTTTCTGCACCCGATAAATGTCCGCCATGGTCAAAAAATATGTCCTTTGGCGGACAGTCAGTCAGCTGGTTGTTAACAACAGCATAGTAGATGATCTGGCAAAATTGTATTAAACAATGATGGCAATGGATGAGTGAAGTATGTAATTTGAATGTACAATGATAAGCAATTTCGAACATTCAAGCCTTATCGCCAACTGGACCGACTTGAAAATGATGGAGTATAGAATCCCTATCTTCTTCTCAGTTTTAATAAATCTATAGGGGATCTAAGTCTCCTTTTCGGTATTCATTAAAGACAAAGTTTGGATAAATAAAATACCATAATATATAGAAATTAAAGGTATCAAGTGACAATAAACATATAAGGATCTAATATAGGAATAATTTAAGTAACAAAAGAAGCATTAAGTCTCAAATCACTAATAAACAATGTAAGTGGGAGCTAATTGGGCACCTCCTAGTTGTAATTGCAAAAACAAGACATTGTATTGTATAGCATGAGTCCGCATATGAAACCAATCCTGTCAGGATATAGCTTTCTACTTTGGAGGGACTGACAAAACCGATTTCCGGATAAGTCAAAACTGAGAGTATAAATCAGGTCGCGCTGAGTCAAATTTTTTAGAGACTAAGGAAGATCTGATGAGACATGTTCAATGTGTCAGAGAACCCTGGGAAAAAACTGGCCGAAATTAAGTCTCCCATAAGGTAATGTGGAACTTTATGCGAGACAGGTATGAAGAAAGCAAACAAGATAACTAAAAAATGATAATAGTTTGACTTCGTTTTCGCAACATTGTCACATTGTAATGGCGACCTAGTTGGATGCACTTTGTCCGAGGTCCTATGCAACAGTGGATATGAAGACCAAGGTGATGTGAACTTCTGTTTGGTCGCAGTCTCCGTTAGATTTATAGTGTTGGTTCGACCTTGTTTTCGCAAATTGATTAAAGCGTCAGGGAGACCTTGTGGAACATACCTAGTCCCGTGACTTCTGCCACGGGCACATTCCCAGCCAATGGTCCAATACTGCAAATCACTAATACTATGGCAGAGGATAAGGGACTAGGTACGTTCCACAAAATCTCCTTGATGCTCCGATCAAATTGCGAATATAAGTTCGAACCAACCTATGCAACTGAATTTATAATAATCTCATATGGCAGAGGACCTCGGAAAAATTGCTTCCAATTAGGTCTCTTTTGGCAAAATCAAGTCGGACCACTTATATACATCAAAAGGAGATTATAACCAAAATAGAAACAAAAATATCCTGGTCTTCATACCTAGAATTTTAAAAAATTGAAATATTTTTCGACGTTTGGCACCAATATGTGATTAAGTGGAGGTGATATAAACGAAAAATGTGAAGTGATGGATATTTCAGGCCATTATGAAGTAAGTTAATTCAAGAGCAAATTATTTTTCTCCCCTTCGTGTGATTATTTATAGCAATATTTGGAAATTGATTTCAGACTATATTCTGACTCACGATCGAAAATGGCAATAAATTATATGGCTAAATCCACAGAAGGAAATAATGGAAAGGAAGATATCAGGTCATTAAAAAAATTAAATATGCATGTGATAGTTAGTTAAGTTCTTTGGGAGAAACAAGGGTAGGCTAAGAGTCAAACCAACTCACCATGTCACGGATTCTCTGAAACCCATTGATCGGCAACCTTTGGCCAAGCCGGATCTCTTCTGCGCCCAGGTCTGTCTCTTCTTCGCCAGCACCATGCCCCATGGCCTGTTTATCAGCAGTATCCGGATTGTTAAGCGAAGCTCGATGACGACTGGGCGCTCTGGAAAATAGGCTCTCGAAATACCAATCCACCGTGGGTTCCCCGTCTGAATGGCAAGGACCAGAACCACCGAAAGTGGAAGCAGAGGAATGATCAGTGTTTGAATTTCCCTCCTGTCTGATGTTCGTCTCCAAGGTGGATTCAACAGAATGTCCAAGACCATCGCAATTATAACGATTAGTTTCTTCGTTTAAATTGCCATTACTTGGATTATAGTAATAGTAATGACACTGCATTAAAACTGGATTAGTTGGCAGGGAAGTAGGCTCTGCAGAAAGCAGAGGCAATTGAGAAAGCATGCGTGGCAACCAATATAGGCCAACTGAAAATACAGAGAAAAGGGAGTTCACATATATAAGGGTTCATAATTTACTAAAGCATAATAGCAAGATGATGAGGTGAATGATGCACTTTGGGGCTTCTCTTTATCCAAGTACAGTAGCCCTAGAAGTTATAATTTTCTGCCATTGTACGCATGATCATTTCCAAAGTTGAACAGTGGGTGTGGTACATTCCCAAACGTTTCGCCGGCATCGTAGTTGGCATCGTCAGTGAGTATCGCCATTCTTAGCA